TGTTATGTATGAGGGGCAGAGCCTTCGGTGTTCACCCAGGAGGGTGACCCACGTTGGTTCATTGCGATGCAGTCCCGGTGAGTGTTTCTTCTTTAACTCCTTGGTTGTCAGATTTCCATACAATTCAATTTTCTGGCAGTTCTGGTTGTTTTTGGTTTTTAAATTGTTGTCCTTCTTTTGGCTGTGCCAGAAGGATGGTGTGTCTACCTACGCCTCCATCTTGGCCAGAAGTCTTGGTGGCTTATTTATTTTTATAGAGAGGGAGAAGGAAGGAGAGAAACATTGATGTGCGAGAGATACACTGACTAGTGTTATATCCACCGGGTGCGAGAATAATTTTCGAAGACCTTTCAGGGTTTTGATCTTATTTTATTGGCCAAGCTTAACCTGCGCAGGGGCGAACTCTCGGGGTGTCCAGAGGCGTGGCCCCCAAAAGGGCTGCAGATGAGAGTCCCGCCGAGCGCTTACAGCTAAGTCCTTATATAAGAAGCAGACATGGCAGTTAGCTGTTTGCTTACAGAGACCAAGCGTGGGAACAGGGTGGGGTTTCAACATTGAAAGCTAAGCAGATTACAATCAGCCTGTTTTGCTGTGGTCAGGCTATGTTCTCAATTTCCCAGATCTCAACAATTAGTTGCCTCTCCCATGCCCCCAACTGGGGACCTGGCCCACAACCCAGGGATGTGCCCTGACTGGGAATTGAACCGGTGACCTTTCAGTTTGCAAGGTGGAGCTCAATCTGCTGAGCCTCACCAGCCAGGGCAATAACTGCAGTTTTCACATCGCATTAGTCAGCTCAGGCTGCCATGATTTAGCACCATACACCAGGCGGCTTAAACAATGGGGATTTCATTCTCACTGTCTGGAGGCTGAGGAGTCCCAGACCAAGGGGCGGGCCACCCTGGCTCCCTCCTGAGGGCTCTTTCTGGCTGCGAATGGCTGCCTTCTTCCTGCGCAGACCCAGGCAGAGGGGCACCATCTCTCTGGTGTCTCTCCAAGGTTACAAATCCCAGCACCAAGGCCCCGCCCTCCTGACCTCACCTGAACCTAATCACCACCTGAAGGCCCCGCCCCTTCAACTCTGGCACTAGAGCTTCAACACATAAATTTGGGGGGAGGGGGAAGACCCAAAGCACATGTGTGAAATTTTTTAAAAATTCAGCCCAAAGCACATGTGAGATTTTTTAAAAATTTCATAATGTCTGGTTTTGTCCCTCTTTGATCTTATTTTATAAAGCTTCCTTGTCAAAACATACAAGGACTTGACAATCATACTCATATTGTCGCCCTACAATATGAAAGTCTACTTTCATAAATCATGTCCTCATGGTCCATGGTATTGGCTTTTTAATTTAATATCAATTTTTAGAATTTGCTTTGGGATTTGTATTGAAGACTCCTTTGAAGGGGTACCTCTTTTGCTTTCTCCTGTCCCCCATCTGGGGCCGGTGGCGGGGATCCTGCTTCCATCTTCCTGTCTCCAGGAAGCTCACTTCCCATTGGGCCGAGTTGGAACACGTGCCCGCCCCTGAGCCAATCAGCGCTAGAGGAATGCGGTGTGCTGATGGGTGAAGCTCCAGGTTTGCCTTGGAGTCTGAGGTGAGGCTCTTGCAAAGGTAGGACTGGAGGTGGGAGATGGGAAGGTGGGGCACCTGGGGGCAGGACTGAGTGAAAGCAAGGGCTCGGAATAACTGACCCCTGACCCCAGGCCACACGTGTGGGTCAGGGCTGGGGTCTCGCCCACTTGCTGTGTGGCTTCAGGAGGAGCGCCCAGCCTCTCTGATCGCCTCTGTCTGCACTTAGGTAAGGGGGCCATACCTTGCCAGGCTGCCTGCCTCCTGGGCTTTCTCCTCCTGTCAGCGCCAAAGAAGTGCCCTTGTTGGGCACTGCTGCGTGCCAGGTCCTGGGCTACTCCAACGACAGGAGCGCCCCCCCCCCCCGGATGCAGGTGCCGAAGACTGAAGCAGGGAAAGGCGATGTGACTATCCTCTGCCACACCTCTCCTACGCGGTGGCTGGGGGTTGCCGTCAGGGCCTCCACCTCCAGGGCCTTTGTGAACCTGTTCCTGTCCCCAGCGGTGCCTGGTCTCCTATGGGAGATGACACAGCATGGGAGGCTTCCCCTGGTCCATGGAGCAGCTAGCTGGGCAAGAGCACACACCACCACTGTCTGTAGTAATGACAAATGCAACCTGTCCCCGGTACACACCCCATTCCTCCCGCTCTGTGCCTTGTAAGAGGACCCCTCCCTGCCTTCTGTCCTTATCCTGCTCAGCTTAAAGCCCTAGCTGGAAAGCCCTCTCTCCAGCACGACTTCTAGGATCTCACCTTAAAGTGCCCCAAACTCTAACTCTCTCCCCTCCACCTGAGTGCCGCCCCCAGGTCCTAGTCTGCGCATCTACTAAAAGGATGCTGGGAGTCGTCCTTTTGGGAGGGAACATCTCAGACTTCAGGATGGTAAGTCATTTTTGCACATTCTTTCCACAGAACCCTGGACCTCTGATAATCCACTGCTTGCCCCGGACGTGTGCTTTTGTATGTGCCGGGCCCATTTCGTGCCTCCGTAGCGGTGCCAGTTAACCTGCAGCTACAGACAGCGGTGCAGGTGATCGGTGTCCGCGGAGACGCAAAGTTTCTGTGTCTAGTGCAAGGCAGTTGGCTCTTGCCCTACGGAGAGACCAGGTTTTGCAAACTTGCTTCAGCGTTCCTTTGACTTCTCCTTTGAACAAGTTCTAACACCTTATCGCTTCATTCAAAGTTAAACAAATCTTTGATGTGTGTTCATTTTATATGTGTATGAAAATTGCGACTTTATCTTAAAAATAACGATCCTTTGACACCTGACATCTTCCCCACCCCACAACCCCACTCTATTCTTTTACAAATTTTTGTTTAAAGATTGTATTTATTTTTTTAGAGAGAGGGGAAGGGAGGCAGAAAGAGAGGAAGAGAAACATCACTGTGTGGTTGCCTCTCCCACGCCCCCTACTGGGGACCTGAACCGCAACCCAGGCATGTGCTCTGACCAGGGAACCAAACCACAGACCCTTTGGTCTGCATGCCAGCACTCAATCCACTGAGCCACACCATTTTTAGCCAGGGCTAAAAATTTTTTTATTGACTGATTTTTAGAGAGAGAGAGAGAGAGAGAGAAACGTTGATTTGATGTCCCACTTACTGTAGACACACTCATTGGTTGATTCTTGTGTGTGCCCTGACCAGGGATGGAACCCACGACTTTGGCATATCAGGACAACGTTCTCACCAACTGAGCTGCCCGGCCAGGACCCTAGTCCATTCTTAAGTGTGACCACTTAACTGTCTAAAGGCCTTGTATCCACAAGCCTCTGTCCATCTTACCTGCTACCACCTGTTTGCCCATTGTCCTCGGCTCCTAGGCGCCCTATTCACAGCAATTCTCCGCACAGCCACCAGAGGGCTCTCTTTTCAACACACATTGTATGGCAGCGATTTTCAACCTTTTCATCTCCTGACACACATGAACTATTTAATAAAACTCTGCAGCACACCAAAAAATACACTCTGTTTTTTGCCAGTATGATAAAAAAATAGGTATGGTTTTGATTCATTCACAGTGGGCGGCTCTTGTTGTGTTGGCTGTTGTCATTTTTTATTTGACAACCTAAGGGAAAAGAGGTCGGTGCCCCTGAGTAAGTTAGTCAGGTGTGGCACGTTTCAAAAATTCTCAGGGCACCCGGGTTTAAAACTGCCACGTTATGGTGTCTCTCCTCTGTTTAACTTCCTCCAAGGACTTCCCATTTCTTTTTATTTTTTAAAACATTTTATTTATTTTTAGAGAAAGGGAAGGGAGGGAGAAAGAGAGGGAGAGAAATATCGATGTGTGAGAGACACCGCAGTCAATTGCTCTCACACACGCCCCGAACTGAGGACCTGGCCTGCAACCCAGGTCTGTGCCCTGACTTCCCTGATTTGAAATCCAACCGGCGACCTTTCAGTTCCTAGCCTGGTACTCAATCCACTGAGCCATGCCAGCCAGGGCCCCGTTTCTTTAATAATAAAAACCAAGGTAAGTCCTGGCTGCGCACGGCCAGCCTTGGCTTGGCCTGGCCCGGCGCTCCATACTTTGGCTGCATGGACCATCTTCTGCAGCAAGACACTTCCTGCCTTGCACACTCTTCCCTCCTGACTACGTGCACTCCCATCTCGTTTGGATTTCTGAGCTTGACGCCAATGTTAATGTAGTTGCTCAAAGAAACCTTCCCTGATCTCCTGAACGAGTTCAGGTCCCACCTTCTCCTCCCCGGTATCATCTCACGACATCCTTGGCTTCCTTACAGCATTTATCTTGTTCCCGAATTATGTAATCTGTGTGATTCACACCTGCATCCCTGCAAGGTGGAAGGGCCATGGCTGTCGTGCTGATTGTCTCTCCCTGACACATATTTGGCCTTTTCCTGATGGATGGATGATTAATGGATGGAAGGGATGGTGAATGAATGGAGGCCGGATGTGTGTTGGCTGGCTGAAGGAATGGAGAGTGGACGGATGAATGTATGGCTGATCAATCAACAGGTGGATGGGTAGGTGACGAAGATGCTCGTTCCCTCAGCTAACTGGTGGTTACAATCACTGTGTGAGTCCTCGGCTCCCAGGGCAGTTACACCGACCCCAGGCTTGGCCCATTTTCCCATTCTCACCGGCGAAGCGCTAAGGATCTGGAGTTTCCTCTCCTATCGTCTGCGCTGGGTGGGCGCCCCGGAAGTTGGCTGTGCACGTGTAGGCACCTCACTTCCAGGCGTGCTTGGAACGCTCGCACCGGGCAGAGGTCGGCCGGCGCCGGCGGCGGGTGCTGCCCGCGCCGCAGGGACGGGGAGGCTTCCCGGAGCCATGCCACGCTGGATCCCCCACAGGTTCCCCACTGCCGCCGCAGCCGGACCGAAGCAGGGCAATGCTTGCAGGACGGGGGCGGGGCCGCGCCAGGACCCGGATGCCGCCCCGCCCCTGTCCGCGGAACCGGAAGTGGAGCGGTGCCTGGGAGCCTCTGGAGCTTTGGGAGCGGCGGGAGTGGTGGGAGCTGGGGACGAGCCGGCTGCACGACCCCTTGGCGGTGCGTGAGCGCGACGTGCTGCGTTCGGGAGGGCCGGTTCCTCTGCTCGCCCCGGGGGCGCAACCAGCCCCGAAACGGGAAGGAAGCTGTGGCCGCCGCGGTCTCGCCGCTCTTCCGCTCGCGGTTTCGGGCGCGGGGGGAGCACGGGCGAGGCTTCCCCGGGCCGGGGACCGGCGGCTGGCGTCTGGCGGAGGGAAGGGTGGGGATCCGAGGGGCTGGCCCTGAGGTAGGAAAGGGACCCTACGGACAGGGAGTCCGCGGTCGTGGGGAGGGTCCCCGGAGCAGGGGGTTCAGCGGAAGGGGGTGGAAGGCCGCGGGGGAGGGGCGGGGGTCGGTTTCGGATCCGGAGGGCTGCACTGGCCCGCAGGCTTGGCAATCAGGTCAGTGGGAACGCGTGGCAGAGCAGCGCTTCAGCGGGGCCAGCCCCTCCACTGGGCGCTGGAACTCATCAGAAAGGTGCTCTGGGGTTTCTGGTTTTCCTGTTTCGATCGCCTGAATAGTCCAGCGAGAGCTTGCTCTCCCGCTGGAGGGGAAGCCCTGGGCCAGGGCTTCCTCCACTGGAACCTGTGGCCGTGTCGGCCTCCCTGGGGGAATTCCATCTTCTGCTGAACGCAGCTCTGGAGCCTTCCTGAAGGGCGCTCCCTCCCCGCGCTGCGTCTGTGCTCGGGCTCAGCAGTGCCTGGGCCGCGGTGCTTTGCCAAATGTTCACCACCCAGGTCCAGATCGCCTGATCCCTCCCAGCAGCCCGGCCAGCCCAGGCCGGGAAAGGGCTGTGGGATCTCAGGGCCCCTCCTACCCCGACCCGCAGTCGGTCCGGAGTTTGTTCGACCTCGACCGCGGTGAGTCACCCACCCCAGGCGTGGAGACATTCCTGTTTCTCTCTCCCCTGGTTAGGAAACTATTACCAGATATTCCAGGAGCCAGGAGGAGCCCTAAAGGCGACTCCAGGACAGAAGAGTAAGGAGCCGGAGCACAGAGTTGCTTTTGGTAGTTTGTCCCCCAGTAGCTGGGAGTCGTCCCTTCCTCCACTACAGCTGACTTGTAGTGGTGAACTGATCTTTAAAACACGTTTAAGTGAACGTAATTGGTGGTTTGGACTCTGGGAAAGTGTGCCAAGGAGTGAGTGGGTGGGGCAGTGCTGGGGCTGCCTCACCTGTGTTGCAGTGCTAGGTCCCAGGCAGCAGGAGCTGTCCCTGCCCCTGCCCCCACCACCAGGCCTTACCTGTCTGGTGTGAGGGTGCGGGCGGGCCCTTGGAGTGAACTGGGTGAGTGTGCCCAAGGCAGGCCAGGAGGGTGTCCTCTGAGTGACCGGCGGGAGGGAGTGGCTGAGTGCTGCCTGGCTGCTGCGCTGCCTGTGTGTTCTCCGGGTTTTCTGCTCCTCTGGCGCCAGTGGGGTTAATGGAAAGCTAATTCCGCATGTAAGGCACCCATGGCCCTGGAGGGGACATTTTCCACTCTGTTTCTAGGACTGTGCAAGGTCACTTCACACTTGTGCAGGCTTAACCTGGGCGGGGGTGGGGGGCAGCGTTTGCAAGGAAGGGTTACTATTAATGTGTTAATGGTGGAGAGAGGAATTCTTTTGGAAGGGTTTTTTTTTTGTAACAACTTTATCAAGATTTACTTTACATACTACATAATTCGCCCATCTAAAAGGTACAAGTCAACGTTTGCGGTCTATTCACAGAGTTGTAGGACCTTCACCACAATCAATTTCAGGTTAATTGCATCAGTTCCAAAAGAAAGCCTGTGAAGCCACGCCCCCCAGCCCCCAACACTAGCTAATCTGATTCTGGCCTCTATATAGGTTTCCCCATCCAGACATTGCACAGAAAGGGGCCTGCAGGACACGTGGCCTTTTGTGCCTGCTTCTTCCACGTGGCCCGTTGTCCCGGGTCGCCCTTGTGTAGCGAGTGTCGGCGCCTCACTCCCTCTTATTGCCTAAGGACACTCCGTTGTGCGGACGGAGCACATGTGTGTCTGTGACGTGACTCGGCCTTGGGGCTGTTTTCGCCTCGGGCCGTTGTGCGTACTGCTGCCATGGACACTCCTGGGCACATTTTCACATGGACACGCGTTTCGTTCCTCTGGGGGCCTGTGGTGGCCCCACGCTGAACGGTGTGAGGAGCTGCCAGACTTTTCCAGTTCGCACCCCCACCAGCCATGCCTGCGGGTTCTGATTTATCCTGCACACGGCCCCCACACTCCTGCCCCGTGGTTCGGGGGGTGTGCTGCTGGCTCCTGTGGCTTTGATTTGCCTTTCCTGGTGGCTAATGACACGGAGCATCTTTTCAGGGGCTTATTGGCCATTCGTCTGCGGAGAAATGTCTGTTCAGCACTTTAAAGTGTGGTTGACTGTCCTTTGTGTTACTGACCTGGAAAGAGTTCTGTGCTCTGGACGACGGATTGGAGAGAGTTTCCTCGTCTGTGACCTGTGTTTACTGTCTCGATGGTGCCCCTGGAAGCACCGAGTCCTACATTCTGTCCAGTTAGCTCTTTCTCTTCTTGTGTGTGCTTTTTAGTGTCACACTTGAGACTTGCTTTCGGGTTGAGGGTTATGAAAATCTGTGCCTTTGTTTTCTTGTAAGAGTTCAGTTGTTTTAAGCATTTGGGTCCTTGATACATTTCTGAGGGAATTTTTGTGTACGTTGGGAGGTAGGGGCCCGGAGGCATCACCTTTGGACCCAGAAAGTACTCGAGGCTTTAATTTTTCGGTTATTTTTTGTGACTTCATTTTTAAATTTAAATATTGAGAGGATAATGAATTATTGTCGATTTGAGCCCACCAGTAGCGGCTCCAGGCAGTGTGGAACTTCACGTGGTGCCCAGATGCACGGAGCAACCCACGCGCACGTCAGAGTTTCTTGAGGGGGCTGGGGAGGAAGAAGGAGCGAATCGTGGGCTCCGCAGGAACTAGGCAGGAAATGGAGCGTGGGGAGGGCCAGCAGAGCCATCCCCAGGGTGGCCGGTTCATGACTAGCTGCCGGTGACTGGCTTGTCCCTGGGAACCAGGGGGCCTTATCCAGTGGCTCAGTGCCGGCCAGCAGCCCAGCCCGGTTGGGGCTGTGAGTAGCCCTGCAGGAAAGCTGCCGAGGCGGGGCGGGGGAGTCGGAGCCCGGACCTCCATGCGGCAACCAGACCTGTGCCTTGGGATCGCAGCCGTTCCCCTCTGCTCCCTGCCTCCCTGTATCCCTGTGGCAGTCAGGCCACGTGGCATCCCCCGCCACGTGTGACCCCTGCAGGGAGAAGTTACTGTTTTTAGTAATATCACATGGGGGAGGGGGTGGATGGAGAATGGGAACCTCAGGGTGACGGCAAACACAAGGTGTGTGCTGGCAACCGAGACAGTCGTTCAGAGTGCGGCGAGAAGAGGTCACGCAGTTGGAGACCTTTGGAAACTTCTTGTTTCCTGTAGTTTCGCCATGTGTCTGAAGAGCATGCAGCTCTTTGGTTAGTGACAGCTGGATCTCCTTAGCCTCATTCCAGATTCCTGTATGGATCCTCCTCATTTGGGAGGGTTTCAGAGCCTTCTAGAAGGATCTGCACACCTCTGGGGTCACCCAGAGCACCTCTCCACAGAGACGCTCTGAGCCCTTCTCTCGGGATCTGTTTGCAGACGGAACGCCCCCGGTGCCTGGAGAGCCCTCACTGGACCTCTGAGTCTCTCCTGTGAGCAGCCTTCGTCTTCAGCCGGAAAGAAAGGAAGGTGTGTATGTTGCGAACAGTCACTGTCCTGGCCCCAGACGGTCAGGTGAGCCCCCGTCCCGCTGGGTTGGCTGAGATCGGGACCGCCATCTTCCAGAACATCCTTGTGGGACAAACGAAGTCAAGTCCCCCCGTGTTGCCTGCGGCTCAGAAAGAGGAGGGGCATTGCAGGAAGCCCGGGGCGGGGGACCGGAGGCCACCTGGCCTGTCTCCTGCCCTGTGGCAGGTGAGAGGCGTGACCCTGGGGACCTGCTCCCCCGACCACCAGTGGGGCTGCGTCCGGGAAGAGCAGCACAGACGGGGCTCTGCCCTCGGTTTCCCTGAGTCTTGAAAGGGGGTCAGGCAGAGGCGTGGGCTTTCACCTTCCCTCGGGGGGCAGGGGTCCCAGTCCTTTTGTCCCGTTTCCTTGGTGAGGGGTTGGAACTACGTACAGCAGCTGGTGTCCTGCAGGCGGGCAGCCCCTGTCCGGGACCTCATGGTGCCGTGGGGTCACCTGGGGAGGCAGACACTGTGGGCGAATCACCGAGCTCTTGGAGCTGCTCCTTCCTTTGTGGACGGGCACCCTGAGGTGCCCCCCACGCCGATGGAGGTTTTAGTCCGTGTGCTCTCTAAACTTGTCAGAGCCGCTCGCACCTGGGAGACTCCTTCAGGGCTTCCGGACACCCTAGCAGAGGGGGGGCATTGGAGGGGCTTCCGGACACCCTAGCAGAGGGGGACGGCATTGGAGGGGCTTCCGGACACCCTAGCAGAGGGGGGGCATTGGAGGGGCTGGACAAGCAGGGCATCTCTGGTCCTGCCCGCTGGCGGGCGGGGCGGCAGACAGCTCTGGCCCAGGTGGCGGCGGCAGGAGTCCCATCAGGAAACTTGAGAGCAGTGTCCTGATTCACATTCACTACCACCTTGACTTTGGACTTGAGACCCAGCAGAGCAGGCGGGGGCAGTGTCAGTTCTCAGGGTTGTGAAGGGCTTTTGTCTTGCCCTCATTCAAGCACAAAAGCCCCAGTGAGGCGCCCCAGGGGCCTGAGTGGCAGGTCCTGCCTTCAGACACCTGGGCGGGGCTGCGGGTGACTGAAGTGAACTAACCTTCCCTCGCTTCCTGGAGCAGGTGAGACTGTGGGCATTGTTGTGGAAGGCGAATCTGTGCTCTCACGTGTTTGGAGTTCACCTTTGCGTTGTGAACAGAACCAGCTGTTCTAGCTGAAACCCAACAGTTCGGGTGCTGGGGACGGCAGGGACCCATCTTCCAAACTGGGTCGTGACACAGAAGAGCAGGCCGGGGAGTGACCTGCCCACAAAGGACCTGGTCAGGGGCCAGTTAGGGGAGCATCCGAAAGCAGAGTGGTGCCCTTTCTGTTGGTTGAAACTGCGGAGGGACACATGACATGAAGCGTCCCCGCTGTGACGCTGAGGGGGTCGGTGTGGGGGCGGGGCCTGAGCTCTCCCCCGCCCCCGGCGATGGCACAGTGGGTTGTGTCCCAAGACGGTGGGTGCTTCGCCCTCACGCGTGAAGCCTGCACACAGGTGACCGTGTGGTTCCACAGGCACTTTCTCACTGGAGCTGCAGCCAGGGCATTTCTGGGGTCTCTCTCTGATGCCACTCGCTGCAGTGCCAGCTACAGTGCTGCGTCCCTTTGTGTCCTCACGTTCCTGCCGGGTGACGAGGACCCTCTGGTTGTAGCCCTCCTCGTGCGTCTCAGGGCTGTGGGCCAAGAGCGTGCGGCGGGCCTGCGGCGGCTCCCCGGTCCCATCACCCGACACCTCTCTCTGCCCTCGCAGATGTGGAAGGCTTCCGCAGGCCACACCGTGTCCATCCCCCAGGACGACAGCGGTGCCGACGACTGGGAGACCGACCCTGACTTCGTGGTGAGTCGCCGGTGCCCCTGCTTCCGTCCCCGAGTCCCCTGAGAGCAACTCCCAGGGGTGCGTCGGGGAGGGTCTTGGTGCGGGGCTCACGCCCAGGCCCTGGGTTCGCTCGTGTCCCTTCCAGAATGACGTGAGCGAGAAGGAGCAGCGATGGGGCGCCAAGACTGTGCGGGGCTCCGGGCACCAGGAGCACATCGAGTAAGGCTCTTTCTGTTTTTCATTCCTTCTGAATACTCACCTGGAGACAGGCTTGTTAAGTTTTAGAGAGAGGGGAAGTTAGGGAGAGAGAAAGGGGAGAGACATCAGCGTGAGGGAGGAGCACCATTTGGTTGCTTCCCGTACATACGAGCCCCAGCTGGGGACCGAGTCGGCAACCCAGGCCTGGGCCCTGCCCGGGAATCGTACTGGGGACCTTTCAGGGTGTGGAACGGCGCTCCAACCAAGTGAGCCACACTGGCCAGGGTGAGACTGTTTTCATGTTGGCACCTGATCTGTAGACAAAGACGTGTGTGCTCCTCTCCACCCATGGGGGACGGTTCGAACCGTCACGGCCGGGCTGGTGACTGCTGTGTCTAGAGGGGCAGATCCGAGATGGGACCTTGTACCTGCATGTGCATGTGCACACGTGTGTATGTGCACACACAGCCCTGGGGAGCCCACTCCCCCGCGTCCCCATCACTGAGGCCCACGCTGGCCCAAGCTCTTTGTGCGGGGTCAGCTCCCGACACAGGTGGGATCTCTGAACGCCTTACACCTCAGGCTCCTGCTCCTGCCACTGTATACACAGCGTTGTCACTTTGCTGTCCCCTGGAGGCTGTGCGCTGAGTTCTAGGCATCGAGTTCTCCCGAGGAGCTCAGAACGGGAGCGCCGGGAGCGTGTCATTGTCCCTTAAGTGGGTGCTCTTTAACTGCCAACCCTGGGGTGTGTGTGTCCTCCCCTCGGGAAGAGTAGAGAAAGGGAGCTTTTAATGTGGGCTCAGACTTCCATCCGATCGTACCCCTGGGACCTGCGTGGGCCGTTTGTGGGGGAGACCTCACCCTGCCCGGCCTCGAGTCCTTGCGGCTCGGGGAGCCGTCCCTGTCTGGGGAACGCCCGTCGTCCACACCAGAAGGGCGGTGGGCAGTGCGGGCGCCCCTCCCAGACCGCTGCGCCCGCACCTGCGCTGCAGCCCCTTAGAATGTCCGGGGGCTGGTGAGAGGCAGGGGCTCAGGAGCCAGCTCAGCTCTGTTGCCGAATGGGGCCCTTCGTGGTGGGGCTCGGCTGACCCCTGAGTGGGTCAGGTCCCCGTTCCTTTCTCGTTTCTGTTCCCTGTGGTGGGAGACCTGTTGGGGAGAGTGGAGAACAAGTGAGCAGGCAGCCGCTGGGTTGGCCGGAGTTCACAGAGATCACGTTGGGGGCGGGGCAGCTCCGTGCCCTGTGGTCCCCCAGGGTTTTAGGAGGGTGTCTTCCCTCCCAGCTTGAAAGGGGTTGGGTGGTGTGGGATTGTCATGCAGATGTTGATGGAGCGTGGGAGCTGCGTGGTGTCCCTCATGCAGAAAGGCCTTAGGGAGGTGGCTTTGTGCCCTCAGGTCTCCTTACAGTGACAGCTGTGATGCCCCCCTGCCTCGGCGTTGACAAGGAAGCGTGGCTTTTGGACTGCGAGTCCTGAAAGCCGTTCCTACGCCTTTGGGTGTGCAGGAGGCTGGGGCGCGGCGTTGCTGGGCTTCGGCCGTCGTCCAGGAACACTGCAGGAGGGGCGCCTCGGGTGCCGTTTCCAGAACACTGTCTCCTCGCTCGGCCGCCACGGCAGCAAGCAGCACGTGCGCCTGTGCGGCAGGCAAATGAGAGTTTATGTTTCGGGCGGCCACGCAGCCACACGGGCAGAGCTGTCACCCTGCGGTGGCCTTGCACCGGGCTGCCAGAGCGCAGGCCCGAGAGCAGGGCCTGGAGGGAGCTCGGTGGGGTGGGTCCAGTCGGGGCGGGGCGGGTTGGGGTCCCGGCACACCTCCTGACCCCTGACCCCTGACCCCACCACGCGCCCTTCCTCCCAGCATCCACAAGCTGAGAGAAAACGTCTACCAGGAGCACCAGTGCCTCAAGGAGAAGGAGCTGGAAACAGGACCGAAGGCCTCGCACGGCTACGGGGGCAAGTTTGGCGTGGAGCAGGACAGGATGGACAAGGTGAGTGGGCGGCGGCACTGCGCCAGCATCGGGGCCCCAGTTGGCCGCTCACTGGGTCGGCAGAGGAGGCCCTCAGACCCGCTCGTCCTGTTCGGTTTGGAGTCAGTTTCTTGAGGATGAGGGTTGCCCGAAGCCCCGTCCACGGGTCCACCTGGTCGTCCAGGGCTGCTGCAGTCTGATGCTCCCCTGAGGGGCGGTTCCGAGGGGGCGGGCCCAGCGCGGGGTGGCTCCCCAGCCCAGGCCTATGGCTGCAGGTGTCGGCCCGCCCCGCCCGCATTCCCACGTGCGACCTGGCTTGTTCAGCTCCGGGGGGCGGTGAGACGGGGACCAAAACCAGACTCCAGGGCCCCTTGTTCGAGTCACGGGGGACAGTGCGGCCATCAGGTGTGCCGATGCCCGTCCTGTGTTAGTGACCTTGGGAGGGCGGCTCGGCGGGAAGCCTCTGCTCACTTGGCTGGGGGACCGCTCGCCCCGCATCGGGGCTGTGGGCCAGGCAAGTGAGTGTTCGTGGTGACGGAGGTGTTGGCGGAATGTTCCAGCAAGGACGGTGCCAGGCATGGGGAGCGCGGGCATTCCCCCCAGGGAGAGGGCAGAGCAGACCGTTGGGTTTGCCTCCTCAGCGGGGCAGCTCCTTCCATTCTGCCGCCCGGGGGGGGGGCACCTGCAGCCCCGAGAGCCCGCTCGTACCCAGCAGGCGCCAGCCTCCCGGCCGGCCGTAGGGAGCGTCCGCTGGTGTCGGGTTCTGCTCTGAAATTCCATGCCTGTCCTTGCGTACGGCTCGGATTCAGTGGCTGCGCTGTCACGGTGCCCACACTCGGTCACCACAGAGCAGATAAGTGGGGCCTGTGGGCCCCCCAAACCACGTCCAGAATTAGCCTGGAGACAGAGCAAGCTGTAAGCTGCAGGAAGGAGACAGGGACGTTCGACAGCGTGACTGTCACTCCGGAGGTGACTGGACACCAGAGCAGGGGACGCGGGGAGCAGAGTCACGTTTGGTTCCCAAAACAGAGCCCGGCAGTTTTGCTGGTGCGGACGGAGAGACACGTGTGTCTGGGGCGGTGGGAGTGGTGGGCAGGAGCCTCCACCGACGGGCCTGTGCCCCCAGGGCCGTGGGCTCACAGGGCCCAGAGGAAGTCATCAGAAACGTGGGCCCGCACGCCCGTGGGGACAGTGACCCGTTGGGGAAAATAGTGACAGTCTGGGGGGAAGAGCTTGCTGACAGCAGCCACTCTGCTGCCACAGGGACGCCGTCCCTCCCCCGGCACCTGCCCCGGGAAACTTTCCTGGTGAGCCGGCCCCGGGCCTGCGCCGCCCCTCCCTGTGTGCCCTCCTGCCGCCCTCGGCCCCCGTGTGTCACCGCTGCTGCCCCGTCGTGCTCTCCTGCCCACGTGGTAGCGGCCCCTGGATGGCTCGGGGACGCGCTCGCCTCCCCAGTGAGGGTGCTGGGCAGTCGCCTCCAAAGGCGGATCCGGCCCCCGTGGGTGTTGGGGAAGGGTCGCCGTCTGCTTGAGTGCAGATGACTCAGATTCAAACCCAAACACGCGTGGCTCTCGTCACCTGTGCCGTGTCCTCTTTAGACACGGACGGAAACAAGAAGCCCCACGTCTCTGTGGTGCTTCTCGGGGCACGGCTCCACGCCGTGTCCCAGACGCGTCCTGGGCCTGGGGGCGTTTGTTGCCTGCCCAGGGTGACAGCCAACCTGCGTTCGCTCCCGTTGCAGTCGGCCGTGGGCCACGAGTACCAGGCGAAGCTTTCCAAGCACTGTTCGCAGGTCGACTCTGTGCGGGGCTTCGGGGGCAAGTTCGGGGTCCAGGCGGACAGAGTTGACCAGGTGAGTGACGTGCTGGGGGCTGGCGCGGGGGGCATGGCTTCCTGTGGGTCGGCCGGCCCCTCGAGGTCCTGCGTGGGTGCCTCTGACTTGGGGACTGCAGGGCGGTGGCCCCCCCCAAGGTGACTGGCTGGGTTGGGATGTGAGAACGGTCCAGTGTGAGGGCCTTCCTCGGTGTCGGCTGCGGGGTCCCGGGGTCCCGCCTACTCCCCACACGGGCCGGGCACCTTAGGTTTTCCCGGGAGTGTGCCAGGGGCGCCTTCTCCGCCGCCCTCCCCGCGCAGAACTGCTGCAACAGGACCGTCCGAGTTCAGGGCCCGAGCAGCAGCTGCCGTCTCTCTCCCCCTCGGTCACCCTGGTCTCATGTGGCGGCACTTGAGAGCCGTGTTTCGGAGTGAGGCATCCGTCCGCATCCTGGCCGGGCTGCCTCTCAGCCGTGGTCTGGGAGATGGTTCCTTGGGGCCTTGCGTGGACGCCCCGGAGCCTGTCTCTGGGTCGGTGTCCCTGTCACTCGGCAGAGCTCGTCTGTAGAGGTAGAGACTCTTCCCCGTGGCGTTAAGGGGCTGAAACGCCCGAGGGGAATTTGTGCAGCAGCCGGCCCCCGGGTGGACTGGCCATGTGGGAGCAAATCCGAGACGCCGAGCTTGGGGCGTCGGTCAGCCCTGCGCCCGGCCTAGGGGACTGGAGTGCAGAGGACAGTGAGGCGCGCGTCTCTGAAGGTTTCCTAGGCCTTGTGCTTTCAGACGGACTGTTGGGGGCATTTAAAAACGCATGTCCCGTGTCTCGTCCCCGCAGTCGGCCGTGGGCTTTGAGTACCAAGGGAAAACGGAGAAGCACGCCTCCCAGAAAGGTAGGACCTCTGCTGGGGGGTGCCCTGCGGGCAGGGGGCAGGGTGGGGGTTGCGTGGGGCCCGGGGCCTCTTCTCCCACAGAGGGCAGTGGTTCTCAGTGTAGCCATGTGCCACGTGGTCCCTGCCACGCCGCTCGAGGCCCGGCATCTGCCATCAGTGGGGGTCCATGGAGAGTCCCCACCGTGGTTCACTGTCTGACTTTGTGGGCAGGGTGCCGCCCCAGGCCCCCCAACCCCCCAGAGGAATACACCATCACATCCTTGCCACTGTCCCTACGTGCACCCCGCCTTGGGCACGGCCTCGCTGGCCTCTGTCAGGGCACACTTGCCTCAGCGTCACTCCCTTGGAGCCCGTGAGGGTCCACGCAGGCTCCCCGGCTTGCATGGGGCGTCGGGGCACCAGGGCGAGTGGGGGGCGGGGGCTCTTTTCTGGAACGGGCCTGTGTGTAGCTTTCTGGACCTGCTGCCCTTCACTGGAACAGCCTGTCTCCCAGGTGGGGTGCAGGGGAGCCGCTCCCCCTGCTGGCGTGAAAGCGGTGTCCTCTGACAGGAGGGCCTGGCTGCCTGGTGTCCAGTGTCACCTGTGCGGCAGGGGTGGCTTCCTGTGCAAGCGCTGTGCCACGTGTGCTTGGCCTCTGGGTGGGTCACGCCCTGGCCCAGCCCCACCAAAGTGCCGCGTGTCTGTCGCTGGCCCCTGTCTCCCCAGACTACTCAAGTGGCTTCGGCGGCAAGTACGGCGTGCAGGCCGACCGCGTGGACAAGAGCGCAGTGGGCTTCGACTACCAGGGCACGACGGAGAAGCACGAGTCCCAGAGAGGTCCGTCCGCACCGCCCGCCGCGGGCAGCTCTGCCCCGCACAGCCCCCAGGCGCAGACATAGATGCCCGGGAGTCTCCTTCCCTGGGCTGCCTCGGGGGCGCTGCACCCCCTGGGGTCGTAGCATGAGCGTTCACGTGTCCCTGCTCCTCTCAGGTCGGTGTGGCAGATCCATGGTGATTCTCGTGGAATGGGAATCGCCTGCCGTGCACCGGCTCCGTGGCCTGTCTCACCTGCCTTTTGGGGTGTGGGGTTTGGGCGACGTCCAGTTTTTTGATGAAGGGGATTGGCTGCAAGACTGTTTCTATACCTGTATGTTAGATACACAAGCAGTTGTTCAGAAGAACACAGTCCTGGAAATGGCCTTGCTGGTCACAGGACGTGGACTTGAACGTGCCGGCCAATGTGCCAGGTCGCCCTGTGGCCCCCTCGGCAGTCCGTCGCCCGAGGGCCGTGTCCTGGAGGCTGAGGCCCCCCCACCCCAGCAGGGCTCCTGCTCGCTGGTTCTGGGCAGCCTTTGTTCCGTTGGCCTGTGCGTTCAGTGTTAAAGTACATGCCAACACTTGGAAATGGAGCACCCAGGAGTCGAAAAGTCCCAGGTTTCTTTTAAAAAGAAAACAAAGTGGGCGTGGGAAACGGTCCCGCATGTCCCTGGGGTCTCGGCCAAGCCCCTTTCTCGGCCCCCCCTTGGCAGCCGCTGCCCCCGCCCTCTGCGCCCTGTGTACTGGAGCCCGTGCTCCAGAGCGCGCCCTGCGAGTCGGGACATGCTGCGAGCTCCCGGTCAGTGAGATCAGATGCCGTCCCTCCTGTGGGGTCTGGGAGGGAGCACGGGCCAGCGTGCTGGGGGACGGGCCTCAGGTTGCGCAGCAGCGCTGGCCCCTCGGAAGGGGTTTGATGTTTGTGTCCACCCCACTCGAGTGTCCACGCAACAGTGTGCTTCTGCGCAGCAGTGGCTCTGTAGGGATGAAGCTCTGTGCAGAGCGAAGTGCAAGGCCACAGGAAGGGGCTGCCGGGGGGGGGAGCTGTCCTTGGCGTCCTGCACGCCCGCTGGCTTAGTGCGTGAAGCCCGGGGACCTCCAGGAGCCTGTGCTCTGGCTGGTCCTGGCGACAAAGCTTGGTGGTACATGACCACTCCGAGCGGCATTGGGGATGGAGGGAGGGTGCCGTTACGTGCCCGTTGTATTACTGCTCTTCAGGATTGCACTGTGCGCAGGGTGAGCCCTTAGGCCTCTCCCGTGCACGGTGACCTCACAGGAAGCCTGCAAGGCCTGTCCCGAGCGAGTGGTACCGGTTCTTAGACTGCGTGCTCACCTCTCTCCTTGCCAGTGTGCAGACTGAGCTCCTCTGTTTTTAGATTACTCCAAAGGTTTCGGTGGCAAGTATGGCGTCGACAAGGACAAGGTGGATAAAAGTGCTGTCGGCTTCGAGTATCAAGGCAAAACGGAGAAGCATGAGTCCCAGAAAGGTGGCTTCAACGTTACCTCGCACCCACCCCTGGCGCTGACGTGATGGGTGGTGGGGCAGGGGCAGGGTTAGCAGCTGCCCCGGGCAGTGAAGCTGCTCACCCAGGCGCAGCTGTGAAATAAGAAGCCGGCCTCCACCCTCGGGGCCGTGACACCAGGGGCGCTGCACGTCTTGTCTGGAGGTGGGGACACCGTGGTGGAGTCCGGCCTGGGGGCCGCTTCTGTGGGTCCCGTCTGTGTTTGCTCCCAGACCGAACCTGTGGTGGGCGATTTCCTGGACACCCTGCAGCAGGTCCCGTTCACGTCGCCCCGGGTGTGAGCAGGCGGGAGGTCAGGGCGGGTCGGCGAGTGTGCGGTAGCTACCCGGAGGACACGCTTCCTCTGCACTCCCGAGCCGTCCAGGCGCCCTGGCTCACGGCTGCCCTCTGTGCCCACAGACTACGTGAAGGGCTTCGGGGGGAAGTTTGGCGTGCAGACGGACAGACAGGACAAGTGTGCGCTGGGCTGGGACCACCAGGAGAAGCTCCAGCTGCATGAGTCCCAGAAAGGTGAGGTGCGGCGCGGACGGCCTTGAGAGGTTGGCGGGCCGGTTCTTGCCGCGTCTCTGTGGCCATGTGGTTTCATCTTCCCTGTCTGGGGGGGTGGGGGCGGGGCTGCGCCTCCTGGTTTGGGGGGAAGCTTGACCCTGTAGTGATCTCCCCTCCACTCTGCAGGCAGGCGCTGGGAATGCAGGGTGTGTGCCTGCTCAGGGGGCCAGGCCCTGCCGGGGCATTTCCGGGGTGCAGCCGCAGGGCCACGTTGTCCCCAGCCTGTGCCCTCTGGGCAGTAGAGTGGACCACAGTGTGTGAAAGCAGGCACTTCCTTCGGCCGGAGCCTTTTCCGTCTGAACAAAACTGTCAGGCGGAGCAGTGTGACCCAGACAGGCCCCGGCTGCGTCACTCGGTCTGGAGTGGGGTTGCGTGTAACGCGTCTCCTCCTTCACGTGCACAGAGGTGTGTTCTCTGGTCTGCAGTGCGGGTAGGACCTTAGAGCGGTCTCCGAGCACAGAGTGGCCTCACTGAGTTGTTCCACACGCAGCTCCTGACCGTCTCCAGGGGCCGGCTGGAGCGTCCCGGTTCTGAGCTCGTCTGGGAGCCCTGTGTGCTCACGCGTGACTGTGGGCGAGCCAGGAGTGGGCTCGCGGGTCCCCGGGCCCTGCAGAGCCACCCCTCGGACCTGTGTCTGGCACATGCATGAGCCCACTGGGCTCTGACCATGCTCTTCCTCTCGGTGTCTCCCCACCGTCAGATTATAAGGCTGGTTTTGGAGGCATATTCGGTGTTCAGGCCCAGAGGCAGGACTCCTGTGCTGTGGGGCTTGATTACAAGGAGAGACTGGCCAAGCACGAGTCCCAGCAAGGCACAGTTGCTCCCTGCGCCCGTGCCACACCCCCGCCCCCACCCACACACCCTGCCCACACACGCTGGGCGCCGCAGACACACGTCCAGCCACCTGCGCACTTTAGACTTTTCATTATTTTTTTTTCTTAGACCCTCGTCTGAGGATGTTGCTTTTTTTTGATTGCCTTTAGAGAGAGAGGAGGGGGGAGAGGGGAGGAAAAATGGACAGCTGTCAGCTGATCGACCCCCCACTTGCCCAACCAGGAGTGGAGCCCGCTGCTGTTGGCCTTGCGGGACTACGTGCCAGCCCACGGGGCCGCCTGCCCAGGGTCCAGCCCCACCCTGTGCAGGGTCCTCAGTAGCCTGCACCTTCCGCCCCATTCACTTCCCGCTGCGCCTTTGAGGTGCGTGTTCTGTAAATCGTGATTGTTGCCCCAACCCCACGTGGCTAGTTCTTGGAATGAGGTGTCTGGTCTCCCAGCACCTTCTGCAGGAGCCCTTGCCGCTGACCGTGACTGTCGGGAGTCCCTGCAGCCCTCAGGCCCCCGTGAGGACCGTGCTCCACGGTGTCTGTTCCTTCCTGGCGGTGGTTTCTGACTCCCAGTGGGAGGCGTCTTCGTTCTTCGTTTGTTTGGTTTCTGCGTGACCTCACCCAGAGCCCCGCGGAGCACACACAGGGCCACAAGAGGCAGGAGGCGTCCCACTGTGCGCAGCCGCCGTCCGAAGGGCAGCCGCATCCCCTCAGGCAGCTAAGCTAGAGGCCCCGAGCATCAGACGTGGGGTGTGGAGCCTGGACGCTCCCTGGAAATCAAGTCGGGTCCCGAGTTGCAGGGCAGCGCTGGGGCTGTGAGGCCCCGTGTGGAGACGTGTGACAGCGTCCCGGGCGGGGACGAGGACTCCCTCTTGCTGATCCCGTGGCCGCAGGGCGGTGGCCGTGGCTCTGCGTGGCATTGGTGCCGTGTGCCGGTGTGGCTGTCACATGGAGGATTGGCTGGTGGAGTTTCCCTGTGGGTCCTTTAACACAGGGGGGGGGGGGCGGAGCCTGCAGCTGGGCCTCCTTGGGGCCCACAGGTGTGGCGGGCGAGGAGACTGTGCTGGGAGAGCTGTGCTGGCTGGGCCGGCCACGCCCCCTCGGCCACTGTCCCCGGAGACCCTGAAGCATGCTCACCTCTCTCCCCTGCCTCCCACTGCCCGAACACCACGGGGAGGAGGCGCATGCGGGACACCTCTCTTCCTTGTCACACTGGGGCACTTTTGGGCTGTTCCTGGGCCTGTCTGCACGCGTCCACCCGCGGCCCCTCGCGGTCCTCGCCCTGGGACTGAGTGCCGCATTGCACCCGTTGCAGACTATTCCAGAGGCTTTGGCGGGAAGTACGGGGTGCAGAGGGACCGGATGGACAAGGTGAGTGTCCCCGTCTGGGCCCCTGTCTGCCATCACCGGGTGGGCACAGCGTGCCAGGCTCGGCCCCCTGTTTGCAGATGTGCAGGCATCTATGTTGGGCGGGTGCCATTGCCGTGGGGGAGGCTGTTAATACGTGTGCCAGGCCGAGTCTGGCGTGCCACGGTCACCTCTCCTGTACCCCTCACCGCTGTGCTGAGGCACGTGCTGTCCTCGTCTCTTTTTATAGTCCGGGGTCCGTGCTGGGATGCCATCGCAATGGAGACATTCAGACCCGAGGGCCAGCACTGGGGCCTCGGGGACCCGAGGCTCTTTGACTTTGGGGAACCAGCAGTGGCCGTGAATCCGGGGCCCCTAGTTGCTCCTTTCAGAGGCTCCAGGGTGGGCTTGAGTCCGTGCGTGGGGCGGCCCCATCCCTGGGTGTGAGGAGTGCCCTGACCGCCCTTCCTGTCTCGGCAGAACGCCTCCACCTTTGACGACGTCTCCAAGGTGTCCTCCGCGTATCAGAAGACGGTGCCCGTGGAAGCCGGTGAGTGTCGGCATGCCCGGCGGTGCCGGGCTGCTCCCCGGGTGGTGGTGGGGGCCGGGGGACCGGGGGTGGCCCGATAGCGTGGCTCTCGGCAGGCCTTCTGGAAAGGCCCTGCCCCTGTCTGATGGGGCACCGGGGACGGCAGCCCCTGGCAGTGGGGTCCTGCGTGGGCAAGGTAGGGGCGCTTTCCACAGCGGAGCGGGGTGAGCAGTACACCCCCATCCTGCTGCCTTGGCCCAGACCTGTCTGTCACGAGCAGGTGGGCACGCTGGCCTCCCCTCACACGTGGGCCCCAGGTATGCACGGTGCGTCCTCTGTGGAGACTGCTGTGGGGGCGCGTCCTGCAGGCCAGGGTCTCGGGGCGCACAGTTCTGCCCCAGGGAAGCAGCCCACCAAGTGCCATTTAGTCGGGGAAGACACTACACAAGGTAGAAGGTGGTGAACCAAACCCAGGGAGCAGGGCGCCCCCTGGTGTTGGCCGTGTGCCCTGGGCCAGAGGCTCCCAGGCCCTGCGCTCTCAGGACGCACAGGCACAGGTGGGACTGTCCCAAAGAGCTTCTGTGTGGGGCTTGTCGTTAGTTTGTTTAAAAATCATGAAACCAGCACAGACCAGCAGCAGTTTTTATATGAAAAATGACTACGGAACAGAGTGCAGGAGGGTGGCCCCATTTTGCGTTTTGTAAACCTTCACGGGAGACTGCTGACTGCTTCTGCCCCGGGGGCTGTTGTCTGTGGGGGCGGGGGGCCTGGGCTCCCAGGGGGCACCTCCCCAGGCCCTGCGGGCCCCGCCCCTGGCGGTGTTCTGAAGGCGCCTCCCCGCGTGGGACGGCGTGGGGCCCGCACTGTCATTGGGAAGGTGATGCGTCGCTGAGCCGTGCTGACCTCCCCAGCGTGGAAGTTCACGTGGCCACGCGGTGAGAAACCACTCGCCCATGCCGCCGTTGGGGTGGCTGTGGCCCCACAGTGACACCGGGAAACTGCCGTGCCCCCGGCTGCGGGCACCAGCTCCCAGCATTCTGGGTTTGCTTGTTGGCAGCAAATACTGGTTTTCTTGTCTCGGAGGAAGTTTGTGTGTTGGGAGGAAGTGCCCGCCACGTCCCAGACGTGCCCATGTCGGTGAGCCCAGCTCACCGCTCAGAGCCCCTCGCCTGTCTCCTCGGGACGCCCCCCAGCCTCCCGTGCGGCAGCGCCGCGTGTGCCCGCCACCCTGCGCGGGGAGGTGCACCCTCAGGGTCGTCCCTTGGGGACATGGGGTCTTTCCCCGTGGGTGTGTGGTAAGGAAGGCAGTGAGGTTGGGAACAGGAGACCAGCCCACCAGGCTTATGGTGTCCGTCTGTCCAGCTGTGCGGCGGACACGAGGGCACTGGCTGGTTTGTGTGGGGCGCTGAGCTGGCAGCTGTGGACACGGCTCTCGGTCGGTCCGGGGCTGCCTGATTCCGCGGGGTTGATCGGTCCACCCGTGTGGGACTTGGGTCCATTCTGGGTGACGGTGGTATCTGACATCCAGGTAACGCCCCCCTCCCCCACCCCGTAGCCAACAGCAAGACCAGCAACATCAGAGCTAACTTCGAAAACCTGGCGAAGGAGAAGGCCCAGGAGGACAGGCGGAAGGCGGAGGCGGAGCGGGCCCAGAGGATGGCCAAGGAGAGGCAGGAGCAGGAGGAGGCCCGGCGGCGGCTGGACGTGAGTGAGGGTGCGGGCGGCCGCTGGGCGGGCAGGCCGTCGGCCACCACTCTCCCCTCGGAAGTGTCCTCTCTGTGTCCAGCCCTGCCGCCTCTCGTCGCTCCCTCCCTGGGGTGTGTCTCAGCCCCCACACCCTGCCAGTCAGTGGGGCGGCGCTCCGGAGGGAGGGAGAGGCCGGACAGAGGCACACGTGGGTGGGGTCCCTGCGCAGGCAGTCCCCCGAGGAGGAGCACACTCCGCCCTGCGGGCCAAGGGGGCTGTGTGGGGTCCCTTGCTCCTGGCTGAGCCTCTGCAAGAAGCACACCTCTGCCCCCCCCAGCCAGGGTCCCTCTGCTCAGACGCTGCACCTGGGCCCGACCCTCAGAGCCCTGGCCGGGTGGTGTGCGCTGTTGGGCTGAGACACTTGCGTGCGGAGGGAGCTGTGGTTTGGCTCATTGACGTGAACAGAGAGAAAGAGAGAAGCGCCTGTGGCGGTCCCAGGCGATGGGGTGTCCGTGCCTGTGTTGGGGCCACACCCAGGTCTGTGGGCCAGTGTCTGGGGGAGCTGCCTGTTAGAGAGGGCCTGGCGGGACAGAGGTCCCCGGTGTCCCTGGCACGCTGCCCGCCTGCCGTGGGGCCTGTTTCCTCAATTGCCGTCTGGAGAAAAGTCCAGTGTCGCGGCAGTCGGCACTGGCTCTGCGTCAAGTGACCGCAAACTCGTTGGCTTGAAAGGCCACGCGTTGGTCATCGTACAGTTCTGACAGGGTCGGGCTCCTGACGGGGCTGCGAGGGACGCCCCACCTGAGCCCTGGCCTTTCCCAGCTTCAGCTTTGTCGTCCTGCCCTACCGTGTCTGTCGTCCGCCTGCCGCCCTCTGTGAGGTCCTGTGTGCCCCGCCTGTCACCCCGCAGGACCCCTCCCTCCAACCCTCACCTCGTCTGCGTTCCCCTTTGCCACGTGAGGTCAGAGTCAGAGGACCGACATCTCGGTGGGGCCGCTACTCCGTCCACCGCAGCCTGCCCACCCGCAGGCCCCCCAAGACCCACGTCCCTCCTGTGTGCAAAACACACCCCTTTAACAGTCCCTGAGTCTCAGTCCTCCTGCTCAAAGTCCCCGTCTGCACCTGTGCCACCTGTGCCACCTGCGCCGGGGGACGTTGGCCGACAGCCGTGTCACCTCTCTGCCCGCACATTGTACAAACCAGGCGTGCGTGGAGGCGGCAGGAGGGCTGGGCGCCCCGAGCTCCTCCCCTGGGAAGCGTGCCGACGGTGTGGCCATGGCTGCCTGGCGCACTGGCTTCAGGGATCTCCTGGGGCCGGGGCCTGCTCCGGCCCTTTCCTGCTCATCCTCTGGCGGGGAGTGTGTGTGAGGCCTGGGTGCAGCCACCTGGAACGCTCATGGGCATCCAGGTGACCCTGGGGGGTTCTGATCACTGCTGCCTTCATTTACAGGAGCAAGCCAGAGCCCAGAAGCAAAGCCCGCCGGCGTCCCCTACCCCGCAGCCGGCTCAGGAGAGGCCGCCGTCCAGCCCCATCTACGAGGTTGGCTGTCAGTTTTGGGAGGGGCCTCTGACTCCCCAGGGAATCGCTTCCCCGCTCGGTGCCGCTGTGGGCAGAGGGCTGCTCCCGCTCTGCAGGGTGTCCATCCAGAGAGGGTGGCCCGACAGGAGCCCTCCCCAGGGCAGGCCCCCGGGTGCACATCCAGCCTCTGTCCTCTGTGGACTCTGCCCTGGCTGGACGGGGCCCCTTCTCGCCCAGCCTGCTGCCCGCCAGTGCGGTCTCCTGACTCAGCCTCCTGGCTGCGAGGCCAGGCAGTTTCTGCCGGTTGTCCCCTTGCTCTGTGCGGCTGTGGCCCTGACCAGACTCCCTTCCAGAGTCCTCGTCCCGGCACCGGCTGCCACTCTCACACGGGGCCTTGTTCCCCGGCCTCTCTGGCTCTCCTCTTCTTCACCTGTCTTCAAAGTCCAGTTCTCCGGACACTGTTCTTGCCCTTTCTCCTCGGTCCTGGTGTCGGTGCCCGGTGGCCCACCACCTGTGTTCCAGGGGCAGGCTGTCATGGCCCGGGCCCCCTGCGCCCCCCGCGCCCCGAGTACCCTTCTGATTTCTGAGTTGATGGCTGCCTTTCCACCCTGCACCATGGGGTCCCCAAGAGCTCTGAGCCGGTCGAGCCTGAACCCGTCTGCTCTGTCCCTGCAGCCACTATCCTGGCTCACACACCTGTCCCTTCTCATCAGGGGTTGCAGGGACTCAAGCTAACCAGACTCAGCTGAGGTGTAAAGGGAACAGGGATTGGGCGAGAGCTGGGGGGACAGCGGCCTGGGCTTTCCTGTGAACCGCCCCTCTGCCCGCCGGCCTGAGCTTCTGGGCCGGGCATGGCCTCCCAGTCCAGTGGAGGGGGGCCTCTCATGCACCGTCACACCCCACTGCATGCCATTCTCCGAGGAGCTGGTCCTTTGCCTGTCTCTCTGTCCTGCAGGGACTGGAAAGGTGTCAGTGACTTGGGACAGGTTGTGAGAAGTGTCACTTTCACTCTCCCCAGGACGCCGTGTCCTTCAAGGCCGAGCCGAGCTGCAGGGGCCCCGTCAGTGAGCCGGAGCCCGTGTACAGCAGGGAGGCCACCGACTACCGAGAGGCCAGTGGCCACCAGGGCCTAGCTTACGCCCCCGAGGCCGTCTACGAAAGCACGGAGGCCCCAGGCCACTACCAAGGAGGTCCGGGCCCTGCTGAACCGGGCAGGGGTGCCCTGTCTCCGTCCCAGCCGCCTCTGTTCCTTGGCCCCGGGGGTTCCTGGGGCACTGGGCTGGGGTGGGCGGAAAGGAAGAGCTTCTGCTGGGGCCCCTTTGAAGTAGAAACCCGGGAGCATCTCCTAGAGCCCGGCCCCAGGAGCCGGCACTTCTGGGGCCTTTGGCAACGACTTCACGTGCCCTGACACGCTGTGAGGAGTGGGGCGCACTGTGCCCCCCGTCCCTCCATGTATCATGACACCACCCTCTAAAAGGGCTCAGTGCTAAAATGTGGGCGTGACACGCAGAGCTGGCAAGATCATTTTGCCGGGTGGCGTCAGAGGTGGGGGCCGGGTCCATCTGCTGCATGGCGCCCCACGGCCCATGCTCCCGGCCGGCGCCTGGTGCCCCTGCGGCCGGGTCCCGGGGAGGGCGCGCAGCCCAGGCACGGGCTCCCTCTCAGGCCTCGTCTCGTCCCCCTCAGAGGAGAGCGCCTATGACGAGTACGAGAACGACCCTGGCATCACGGCCATCGCGCTCTACGACTACCAGGCCGGTGAGCACATAACTTACTTCGAAATAATTCCCAAGTTGACAGAAGTTCCGTCTCTCCACCTGTGTGGGCACCGGGCGCCCGTGTGTGTGCCCACGCATGCACACACACACACACACACACACACACACACACACAGAGTCACCTGCAACCTGACTGCACCCTCCGCAGTCTGCAGCTGCAGGTGCTGGTGCCTGTGCCCCTAATCACCCCGAACCAAGGCCCCTCCACCTTCTTAGCGAGTGGCCACTGTGGGAACTGGGGAGCCTCACTGTCCTTCTCTCCCTCTCCCCCAGCCGGTGACGACGAAATCTCCTTTGACCCCGATGACATCATCACCAACATCGAGATGATCGACGATGGCTGGTGGCGTGGGCTGTGCAAGGGCCGGTACGGGCTCTTCCCGGCCAACTATGTGGAGCCCCGGCAGTAGGACGCCCGCCCCGTGCTCCCCGCCAGCTGCACCCCCTCCACGGTTCCCGGGGTGCGGCCTTGGGGTCTGTGCTGCCTTTATATTGCGTACTTCCGCCGACGCTTTCGAAGATGTTCGCGCCGCAGAGCTCGCTGCTGTGCTGTGACCGTGTTCCTCGGGAGGGCTGTGGGGACTGCTTTACGCATCCGAGTGTTTTCTTGTCTTGCCAAACCGGCTGTTACACAGAGCTACTGCTGGGAGCTTTAGTTCACCGTCGCCCCCTTGGTCAGCAGGCCAGGCCCCAGGACAGGCGAGACCTGACCATGTGTCACCTGCTGCTCCAATGGTGCCCGGTGAGTGCCAGGCAGGAGTCACTGTCCCCGGGAAGGAGCCCCCCCCGCCCCCCGAGCGTCAGTGTTTGAAGGAGGAGGGAGGGGCCTGGTAGAAAGTCAGAACTGAGGGAAATTGCTAGAAAGCAAATTCACAAAATTCATGTGAATTTGAACATCAGAAGGGTCTTTTGTACGTGAATCCCACAGGGCTCGAGTTTGGCGAGGCCCCTGGTCTTTGTCCTGCGTCTCTGTCTCTCCCCCAGTCCCTCGCCTCCCAAAGCACTGGCCCCAAGAGGGCTGCCGAGTCCCCGCTTGTCCCCGAGATGCATTGTCAGTCCCCACTGAAATTCTGCCCTCCCGAGTCTCTGGCTCCGGGTCCCCCGGCCTCCCCCTGGCGTTTGAAGGCCCGTGCACAGCCGACCACTCAGACGCGACTGCGTTGTGCGGGGGACGGCCCCTTGGCCGTGGGAGCACCGGTGCCTTCTCTCCCGACTGCTGGACGCGGTCTTCACGGAAGGGGGTCGTGTTCTTTTGCCAAAGTATCAACTCACATGACAATAAAATTTGATGGATCGATGCAACTAAAAATCAGACCCGAACGGACGTTGCTCTGACCTGGGCCGCCCTGCATGGCAGCGCCGTGGACCCGGCGTGGGGAGCGCCTCGCCCTCTGCAAGGCCCAGAGGCGGCAGCGTCCTCCCGGGGTGCGGGGGACAGCCTGGTGTGGGGACGTGGGGCTGGCAGCAAGGTCCCCTCCCTCGGGGCGTCTCTCCAGCATCCGCTTCACAGTCAGGTCGGGTTTCCATGCAATTATTGTACCTGAATTTCTGTAGCTCATCATAGGGATGGTTTTTTAAATTAAATACTCGAAATAAACTTTTTTTGATCCACTTGCCGCTGGTTCACTTTGGCTTTCCTCCCTCTGGCCCCTGTGGAGGACGGTGGTGCCGTCGGCACCCGCAGCCCCCCGCCCTGTGGGTGGCCATCTGTCACGGTGACAGCGAGGGGAGCGGCCTCCGTGGGCGCCGTGTCTGGCGAGAGGCACGCGCTCTCCCGTCGTCAGTGTTTCGGACACGGGTTCCCAGCACAGTGAACGTTCTGTGTTCAACAGTCATGTCCGAGTTGCCGTTCTCAGGACCACCCGTTTGGTGGCTGCGCTGCAGCTGCGGGCATTGCCTGCCTTTGGAGCTGCGCCGGCGGCCCTCAGAAGGAAACAGCAGCGCTGCACAGAGGAGCTGGCGGGTGGGAGGCCTGTGCCCGGCACCCGAACCTGCTCGGGCCCATGCCCACTGCGGTTGGCCGAGGAGCGGCCCTCAAAGATGGGGTGGCCAGTGGGACGTGGCAGGGACACCAGGCGATGGACAGCTTCACTAAATGTCCGGGCGGCCCAGCGGAGGGCTCGCCACTCCTGCTCACATAGGGGGTTCCGCTTTGGAGCCCCCAGACGGTGGTGGACGGTCCACAGGCCTGCCCCCCCCCCCATTTCCAGGGGGATCAGCAGGCCTCTCCTAGTTGGCAGCTTGTGCGGAGCTTGGAAATGTTTAGCGAAGCTGCTCCCACTGTCCCTGGAGGGAATCGGGGACAGTGCAGACCGCAGGCCTTCCCAACTGGCACATCCATCCTTTTACAGGGGCAAGGTGTCACCCACGGACACTATAGGCGATTACCGGGACAGACCCAGAACTTGTATCCTGGGTGTGTCCACCTCTTGGGTTCCCGACACCCTGCCAGCTCGTGTCCTGCAAGTCCTCTGCAGCCTCCAGACCCCTGGTGGGCCGGGCCTTGGCCCTCACCGGGGGGCTGCCTGTACCCTAAGGCAAGTGAGGTGAAGGTGAGACTGAAGGGCCTGGGTTCACCCAGGCACAGTGGCACTGCCCCGGAAAACTCAGGAATCAAGTCACCACAGGCTGCGGCCCATCAGCCCCCGCAGGGCCACCGCCTGCACATCCCTGTCTGTGCCCAGACTGGTGGCAGCCGCACCCTTTCTTGCGGGGTCGCTTGGCCTCAGCAGCAGAGGCTGGGAGCAAGGCGGGCAGACCTCCATTCCCTGAGCTTGGTCCCTGCCTGCCAGGGCCCCCACTGTTTTCTGGCCCTGCTGACTGGTCCCCCACTCACCAGGCCCTTTGGAGCAGACTCCCCAGTGTCCCCCGGACACGGCACCCTTCTTTGCCTCAGACTGACCCACTCTCCTCCCGTGACAACGTGGCACATGTCCCATGCTCCGGGCATGGTGGCCTAGCTGGAGGCCCCGTGTCACCATCGGGGGGACGGGGGGGGCAGGGGTGCCCACCAGGGGAGGTCATGGCCTCCTGCACAACCAGGGTTACTTTCTGTGAAGTCTCTGACAGCCGCCCACATGCACAGCAGCGTTACAACAGCCGGAAGGCGGACTCACCCCACGTGTCCATCAGCTGTCACTGTGTTCTCTGACTCCGACATCAAACAGGGCCATGAAAGGGGTGCAGCGTGGACTGGAGATACAGCGTGGGTAACCTTGGGAAACATGCTGCTAAATGGAAGAACGCTGACCAGAAGGCCCCAGATCGCAGGATTCTGTTTATGTGAAATGCCCAGAATAGCAAATCCATACACACAGAAATCAGTTAGTGGCAGCTTGGAGCTGGGGACAGTGAGAAGTGGGGAGGGACCGCTCACGTGGACAGGGTTTCTGTTTGGGTGACAGGTCGAGAGAATGGTGATGGTTGTGCAACGCCGTGTAGGAATTTACACCCTAAACTGCTCAGCGAGGACACTCCAGTGGGCACTCAGGTGGCTGCCTCTGTCCCTTACCTGCCTACTCCCCATTCACCTGCCCTTTCAGAGCCTCAGTGTCGTTCCTGGTGGCACTGGGCCAAGCTCACCACTCCCCTTCCACGTCCGCCTCACTCCCAGGGATGGCTTCAACCAGACCGTTGCACTTCTGTGAAAGTGTTGGCTTCCCTGGAAAAGGGGGACGGACCCAGCTGACACACTCTTTGCCTCTTCCTCCTGTCTCAGGGGAGAATGTAACGGGTGGCGTGGCAGCTGCCTTTTGTCATATGAGGCTGAGGAGTCTGAGGAGTCTGAGGGACAGGCTGAGAGAGTCCCAGACTTGATGATGTTGAGCGGTCTGGCCAAAGCCAGGGCCCCTCTCCTAATACCTTGTGATCGCCTACTCCTCCAGCACAAGCCGCCTTGAGAACATTCTGTTCAAGGAGCTGGGGCAGTGAGCATGACCGACATACTGCCTGCCCTCATTTTGTGTCATTTGAAAAGAATGAAAGCACCACTTGTCCTGGTGACTTTTAAGTGGAGTTTCTGTAATTGGCAGCCAAACACAGTATCAACTGATACAACTCTCATTTGATGGGTAAGGGATAGGGTGAAGGTGTTCCCAGCTGCCTACCTTTCCCTGCGGGTGTGTCCAAGGAGCCCCGGAACTGAGAGGTGGCCCGACACCTCTCACTTGTGCCATGGCCTCACACTATATCCGGTAACACCGTAACAGGGGAAACTGGAAATTTGGGCCAACGAACAGAGCCCCCCATCAATGGAGCGATGGCATTCCTGATCAATGGAGTGTCACACCATGTTTGCCGAAAAGAGCTGGGGTCACCGCAACCGCGGGGCGAGGGCATCGGGCATCAAGGAAAGTGGGGAGAGCTGGAGACAGACGAGTGCATTGTGATTCACAGTAAGGCGAGGGAAGGTGGGCGTTATGTCTGCCTAGGTGCTCACACAGGTCGGCGGCAGGGCTGCGGGTCACCCGCTGCTGTTGTGTGCCCCTCACTGGCTGCCGGGTGCTGAGACCCAGCACAACGACTCTGTCAGGACAAGGAACTTGAAATGTGTACTTCCAACGGGACAGCGAAGTTGCTTAGCTTCGTACGCCCCACGACAGAGGAGTCTAAAGAAGTGTCATGCCCAGGGAGGCCCTTCTCCAGGTGGGACAACTGTGAAATGGGCATGAGGACAGGTCTGGGCCGGACACTGACTCAGGGACCCCGCTTTCCATGGCCCATGTAGCCGGGTCCAAGAAGAGACCACAGCTCCCGTGCGAAAAGGGACTCAGGGTGGGGCTCTCCCCGTTTCCTCCGCGGCTGGCTCCCGGGAGAACCCGGGAGCAGCCCCGGCCCCAGCCCCCCAGAAACCCGCAAAATCCACAGGTGAGCTACATCCACAGCTGAGCCACATCCACAGGTGAGCTGCAGCTCCAGATGGATCCATATCCCGCCTCCTGGCCCCAGCGATTGGCCAAAAGCTACTTGGTCTTCCTCAGCTGGGCCAACCATGGATCGGCATTCCTTTGCCAGTCATGATTGGGCCACATGGGCACGTGACATGCGGGTCCCGCAGTGGGTCTGCGAACTGCCTCCTGAGCCGGAGACTGACGCCCGCGTGCGTCAGGCGTGGCGCTGGGCGTCAGCTCTGCGGCGTCGCCTCTGCGGCGTCGGCTCTGCGGCGGGCGGGGCCGCAGCCAAGATGGCGCCAGGCGCCATCCCCGTGGCGCCCCTTGAAGGCCTTCGACCTCTGGCTGGTCCCTGTGAGCTCAGCGCGCCGTTTTCCGGCCTCCGCCCCCTCAGATCCCTGACAGAGGCGCCGGGGCAGTTGGGGGCCCACGAGGAGGGCGGAGGCCTCGCGCACCCGAGGGCGCCTTGGTTGTCCACACAGGTGACTGGCAGAAGCGGGCAACAGAGGTAAGTTACCCCGTCTACCCTGTTCCGGAAGAATCACTGCACCCCATGTGTGGGAGCCGTCACCTCTACTCCGCCGAGCGTCCCACGGTGAGAGCATGGGGCGGGTGGCGCCTAGACTCTTGCCCGGAACACGGCCTGCCCCAGCCGTCACCCGGGAAAGTGCTTCTTTCCCGACTTGGGGAACCAGCCCCTGCCTAGGGAGCGGCCACCCCTCCGCCCGGGAGCTTCTGCTCCAGCACCGTCAGCTGGGGCGGGACCTGTGAGGTGTGTAGCTCTAGGTAGAACGGTGCTTGGTTTCATGATGGGGCAGGGCCCGCTGCGAAAAAGTGGGGCTGGGGACAAGGAGGGTCAGCGTAGGGGGTAGGGGGTGCCTGGGAAGAGGCCGGAGGGGCTGGGAAGTCTGTTTGGTTAAGTCTCTGAGGACTATGGGAGGGGGCGTGGCCGCGGGGCGGGGCGGGGCTGCGGCGAGTGCCACGTCAGAGTTCCCAGGTCTCTCCTGTGTGGGCGGAGCCCCTGCTGGGCCAATGGCAATGCACGAGGCGGGCAGCCCTCGTGCCCTCGTGCCCTCGTGCCCTCGTGCCCTCGTGCCCTCGTGCCCTCGTGCCCTCGTGCCCTCGTGCGGTTCATCTCCCTGAGGTGTGGGGATACTCACTGGGCCAGTCTGAAGCACTAACAAGTGCCACACACACAAAAAGTGAGGAGATGGGAGCCAGTGATTGGGGTGAGTTCTGCTGTGGATCTGGTGGCTCAGGAAGCCTTGCAGACAGACACAGGGGAAGAACATTCCAGATCCCAGGAGGAGCACCCTAGGGGCGGCCCTGAGGCAGGAGTGCAGCCGGAGCAAGGCGAGCGGAGGAAAAGCGTGGACGGGTGGGCGAGGGCGAGAGTGCTCAGGGTGCGCTGGGCTGAGCGGCGGCAGACCAGTCAGCCCGGCGGTTTCTCTGTCGCTGCTGTGAAGACGTGGTGGTCTGCGCTCAGGCAGGGTCCCGCTCTCTCTTTCCATGGCCTCCCCCGCCCTCCCTAAAGAAACACCACCCCTCCACCCAGCCCTCCCGGCTGCTGCCTGCCGGAAAGGGGGCTGAGGAGGCTGGGCTCCTGGCAGGCCTGCAGTGCCGAGGCTGGGGGCCACGTGCTGCTCCCCAGGCGGCCTCCCCGGGCCTGTCTTTCGGCCTTTGTAGTCACATTTATAAACCCCTGCTTGGAAAGCGAGCTTT